ATTAATTAGGTGAAATCATCCAACAAGTTAAAAATTATCTGAGAAAGTACAGAAAGTCAGAGTGAGATCACACATGCCTTGTTTCCATAGCAAAGCAGGGTAAAAAGCTTATTATACATATTATTGGTTTCTCTTCAAGCAAGTTAAGACAGATACACTAATATGCATATGAAAAAAACGTCAGAGTTAAGCATTCTGATTAAGATTGGGTTTTGGACTGTACAAATTTTGATATTTTAAGCTTTATCTTGCTTACAAAAAATCCACCTTTTTGACTAGCTTTAGATGCCTTTTGTTTTTATTCTGCTGCTTGAGACGCACAAGTGCTTGGGCAGCACTGAAATAATTTTCTTCGCTTACACTTTATTTTAATCAAAGTTTAATACAATTCTAATTCATTTTGTTACAAATTATTATCTATGCATTGTCCAAAGGATGAAGCATCATGCTTTCATTATCTATTTAATTCTGTTTTCCTAAATGGCATTAATGTTTTTAAAAAAATCCAGCCTGTCTTGCTCTGAATGTACATTTTAATTAACATTATGCTGAGAAATACAAATTTCTCTAAACTCCGCTTATGCCAGCCAAGGAACTGAGTGTTAAATTTGAAACAGTTTTATATGTGAATCCAGCATTAGTGCATTTATTAAAAAAAAAGACATCCTAAATACAGACAACCTACAGTGGGCCACTGCAAAGGTATTTGCTATTCTAGTGTATTGCTGAAGAACTCCAGCCTCCTGCCATGCCACTCAGAGTCTAAGGAGTATGGCACATGTACTCAGCAAACTAGAAGCATGTTGATTCTCCTACAGTTTTACTAGGAAGTATTAGTAGGATTTTGCCCAGGATAAAAATTCAGAAAGTCTTGTACCCTGGACTTGAGAAGAAATCAGCTTTTGTTAATTAGTGGATTTAAGTTCTACAAGGGGTGAAACCCATTAAAGAGTCATGCAAGAGCAAATAGGAGCACTAATTTAGTTTCTAGCCAGGGAATTTATCACAGCAAGAGCTCTGTGAAGCACACAGTAGGCAACTACTTGGTTTAACAGAGGTTGCAAAGCATCTATGAGCACACCCACTGTAATAAGGCCAGCCAGTGATTGCACACCCTTTGAAGGGTCATTCTAATAAGACTTCAGATACTATCTTCATTTTTATCATGTATACGTAATGTGTTGTGATTTTTTTTAACAAATATTTTTTCTTAATTGGTAAATACAAACTATGCAGAAGAAAATATCCGTGTGAAGGGAGCAGTTTGGTTTCTGCAGAAAGCAACTGCTTCACTGAGTCCTGTTTTCTTTCCTGGAAGAGCGTGCCATTTTCACTGGGATGTTCTGATGTATACTTATCTGGGACATCTCTCTTTCTGGGGGAGGTGTGGGGCCAACATATCTTCTAAAAAGGAAATTGATCTAAATGGTGACACCAAACTTTTTCTTAAAGAAGAATGTCTGTTAAACTTTTCAAGTGTATTTCCAGATAATAGAGACTGACAGACGGCCTGGAAAAGCCAGAGATTCTTCAACATGCTGGCAGTGAATATCCTTTCATATATTCCCT